TGCCAAATAGGACCTCCCCTTTGTCCCCGTTTCGACGAAAACTGAAGCAAGACTAAAAAAAGGGAAAATTGAAGCTGAATGCAGCACACAAATAGCTTTTCTTATTCTTAGAACAATTTGTATGCTCCTTTGAAGCATATCGCAGGATATATATTTAACAGATTCATCCTCACTATGCTATTAATCTTGACATGCGGCCTATCCATCTCGTCATGATGTTTTTTCTATTAAAACAGTATCATTTTTTTCCTGGGAGAACTGTGTCTAGCATTTACCGGTTGCCCATCTACCTCTTGATCTTCCAATGCAGCAGCTCAATTTGTAGAACTAGCGCAGCAATGTCAAGAGACATGACCATTATTTACCTTCTTTGGGAATGAAATCGTTAATACCAACTTCAGGTGCACCACACATCATCATCCACTTCGAATCCTGGTCCACGCGGATGGGTTAGGGAGGAGAGTAGAGAGGAAGAGCGGCGGCACGCGGGGGTGGGATGATTGCATCTCGGAGCTCCCCAACGCACCACGGCTGCCGCTTAAGTCAGCAATGCGCACCGGTGCTCTAGCTCACGGGTGCCCAACCTCTGAGAGCAGCGTGCAGCCCGTGTCCTCCTCACAGTGATTCTATTATCATTGCTCATTCCATTAAAATTATTGCCGTCATTAGTTAGTCAAAAAACGTGTAATACATCGGTGAAACTGCTAGCAGGCTGCCACAGTACAGATGGCTGTCCGAAGTTGGTCAGTGGTGCACATCTGAAACATGCAAAATCCTAGACAACAGTTTCCGCATAACAATTTTCTTACACAGTACTAATGACGGCTTTGACATGTTTCAAAAAACTATGGGACAAAAAGCTTGAATCACCTTACCTCCCTTATTACAGTTCCAAACTAAATCGTCACTTGAAAGTTCAAATGCAATACACTGAGAAATTTTAGTTTCAAGACACATCGTGACCTGAAAATTAATTGTTAAACGCCGATGGTTGAATAATCAGCAACTCACACAAAGATAGAACAACTTCTTCCGTTCTTGGAATAGCTTGGGAAGGCAGGACTGTGCCTTGATCTAGGTATTACTGTGCAGAAATTCTGCTCAGCTCCACTATCCTTCCTAGAGTCCCTGTGATTTCATCCGGTTCAGAATTGGATGAAGGGAACCATTGTGAGGAAGAGCTCGTCACCTCCGGCCCCAAGGAAGTTCACCAGTATTTCCTATAACATTGAGTATTGCTCGGGCATGATCCCTTAGCAAGTGACCCATCCAACACTCCACCAAGCCATCCAGCTTCCCATGACGGTCACGAGTGCATGGCTGCATGAGGTGATCTGACTTTGAAGCACGGAAACATGACGTGGCGGCAGAGTAGGGTAGATATATACAATGATTATGAAGACAAAAGGGTGCGTTCTACATTTACGCTTATTCCTGGTGCCTTCTATGCCTATCCCTAACAAGTTTAAATCGTAGAGATACAACAAATAATGCACGAAATGATATTGGATGATTCTAAGACCAATTTTTTTTGACAAGTAAGGCAGTTCATCTTTTACTAAGGGAATCCTTGCTCTTTGTAAGAGACTTGGGTGATAGGCATTGATATGAACTCAGTAGCCCTCCGGTAGATCAATAGCTGAGGATCCATTTGTTATAAGTTTGGTCCTTAGGTAGGTCGGACACACGGAAGATGTAAATAAACTATGCATTTATTTGCCTTTGCATCAATGCACGTATCTAACACGCAATTTTGTAGTACAAAGTTCATGAAAACGAAGTTGTTCCCACCAGCTAACTTTGGTGGCATGCATGTGAGGTTTCGTTCGCATTTAGGTAGTTCAGGTAGGCCCTTGTTTTTGAGGTTAAGAGTGCCACCCACCTAATACGGACCGAAGTACATATCACCTAATCCTCATCTGCGCCAAAGTGAATATGCAAGCCAATGTCTTTCAAGCATTTGTTCATCAGAAGGAACTTTGTCATGCAGAACCATGTTTTGCGCTATTACTGTCTGAGTTGCTAAAAATGTTGCACAGAGCAGAGTCTTTCCAATTAATACACATCTGAAACATGTAAAAACAGTTTCAGTGATCCTTTCTGAGCTATGGACGGCCAAAAATACAATAAATTCTATAAAGATGCAGTTGAGCGCTCTCTAGAAGTGAAGTTCATCCTCAGGTTCAACGCACAACACCGGACCGGACTATATCACGTGTCCTGGCAACATGGCTGCAGAAGGCACACGATTCAGTTCCAAGCATCTGAGCTAACGAATCCATATACAATACATACATCACAAGTTCCAAGGATCGGTCCGTCAAAATGTAGGTTCTTCAAAGTGAAAAAGATAGAAATAAGAGAAAATAGGTACTCCACTTCAGAAAATTGGGAGACTCCAAAATGGATAATAGAGGCATCGAAGGTATGTAAATCAAACTGATCAAAGGGCTGAATCATAGATAAAAGCACAATAGTTTTTCTTACATAGTACTACTGACGGGTTTGACGCATTTCAGGAAAACCCACTGTTTGTACCTTGTCGTATACAAACTACGGGACAAAAAACCTGAAGCGTGCCACTAGCCTGTTATTACAGTTCCAAATCTGAAGCATACCTAGTGGTCAATCCGGACTTCAAATACAATACACTGAGAAATTTCAATATATAGATGACATACAGCGAGGGAAGTCTTGGTGAACATGCACCAGCAAATTACACAAGCACAGAACAGCTTCTTCATCTCAATGGAATCTGCAAGGGAAAGCAATTCTTCTTTATTCTCATTATATTGCATGGGGATCCCTAAATGATGAACGGATGAAGGAATTGAGAAAAGAATCATAGTGTGAGAGATCAATAATTTGTATGTTCAGAAAAAGTATATATGATAAGTCATGGATACAATAACAAATTTCCTCTAAATGATTAGAGGTAACTAATCTGCTCAGCTGATATGAACTAGTATCATTTATGTTCTTATTAAACGAGTAAAGCACAATTTTGTGAGTTCCTCATGGTGATTGCTTATGATTCATATTCATGTGGTCCACAGAAAATTAAAGTGAGAAAATGTTTCACAGCAGAAGAAAATTTGGTGAAATCGTAAATAAATAAATAGAAACTTACATTTTTACTAGCGGCGCCTGCATCATTGGCGAAGGCGATGAAGTATCAGGGGTATATGCTTGGTACAGTCTTGTTCTTGTACCATAGTCATAAATTCTACAGGCATGTCCATGAGGACTATCTGTTGGAGTGAGGTTAAATTTTGGAATCCTGCTGGAACAACGAGCATACTTTTCAGACCAGTGAGCTGCATATAATTAAGGATCGGCATGGTCCCAGCCTCCACATCAATGCAACTGAGCTGCTCCATGTCAGCTAAGTACAGTTTCTCGAGCTTTGGAAACCAACCTGTCCTGAAAGTCATGATCTGCCCCTCATAGACTCTGTAAAGGTGAAGTTCAACCAGATGCGATAAGTGTGCAAATGAAGGAATTGGATCTGCTTGCAACCTGGACCACCCCATGCGTAGGTCTCTGAGTTTTCTGAAACCGCTGAATATTGTTGGGATAACACCTCCGTGCAACTTGCCTTTCAGGTAAAACCATTCCAGATTTGGCAAAGGATCTAAGTTTTCCAGATCAAGAACTTCTTCCTTCGCATATGAGATTATATCAAGATTAGAAAGGTGCGACAATCTTGTGATGGAGGTCCATAATTCCTTAATGTGCTCACGCTTGACTTTTGTTATTTCAAGTCTTCGGAGTAACGTCAAGTTGCAAAGATTGACGACTAAATCTTTGTTTGCTTCCACATATCCCAGTTCTTGCATATCCTTTAGAAGACAAATCCCGGAATGAACTTTAGGGCCTTGGAAGCAATCAAATATTCTTGCATCATAATCATGGATGACAGAAATTCGCAGAAACCGGAGCTTAGTCAGCTTCTTTATTTCAACCGGCAGTTCCACCACACGAGTTGCCCGAAGATCTAGCATTTGTAGTTTGGTCAACTTACACGATGCTTTGGGAACCACTTCCAGATTTGTGTAAGACAAATCAAGGTAGTGCAAATTGAACAGAGTGGTCACAACATCAGGGAGCTTCGTTATCTCTGCCAATTGTAAGGACAAGACTCTTAGCAATTTGAAATTTCCAGTAGCAGTTTCTACCCATAAGGATGATACGTATTGATCGAACAAAATGAAGGATCGTATCTTTTCTCCACCATCAAGGGTATCTTCAATGCTGTCAGCTTTCAATACTGAATCACGTCGTGCTTCTCCACTATGCATTGTATCACGATAGTTATCCAGAAGAAGAGAGAATTTCCCACTTGCACACACTTGCTTACAACTATATCTCTTACAAGGTCATGCATTTGGAATATCTGTGCCATGCCATCAGCATCCCTGTGAACCACTTGAAGAAGCGAACGCTGAGCGATTTCATTGAGATATTCATTCCCTACTTCCTCCATAGTTATACCTGGCCCCCTTTCTTCTATGAATCCTTCCGCTATCCATAACCTAATAAGGTATTCTCTTCGAATCAGATAGTCTTCAGGAAATATACCACAGTATATAAAGCAGTTCTTCAGATTTCCTGGTAAATGGTTGATGCTAAGGTCCAGGGCATTCCTCACGGAGCTGAGCTCTGCATTGTTACCTATCTGCCAATCCAGCTGATGATAGAAGCATTTCCATTCATTTTCAGATAGCCTCTTGCGCATCAGCAAACTTCCAATGGCAACAATAGCTAGTGGCAACCCTTCACACTTGTCCACAATCTTTTCTGCCCAATAAATTAGACTCTGGGGACATGTTTTCCCTTCTAATCTTGGAAAGGCTTTTCTACAGAAGAGGTCCCATGCTTCTTCCTTTCCAAGAGTTTTAAGCTGAATGCCGTGCTCATCATCAGCCAATGAAGCAACATCTTCATTTCTTGTAGTTATGATGATCCTGCTTCCGTTTTTGCTTATACCCAGTGCATGATTCAATAATACCCACGTTTCTGCTCCGGTGCTCCCCCCTGGGCTGAATGCGAGTGGGAAAAACACAAGGACGGTCCAGATGCGTCGATGGCGGTTCGTAATTAGGGGCACGATGGTCATTTCAGGTGGGTGTATAGTGCGCATAGACAAGTCGTAGAGCCCTGTATGAGCCCGCGTCGGCCCGTGTACTATTGTACGCTGGGCGTGTACGTGTATTATACGCTGGCGGTTGCGTTTCCCCGCGGTCGTGCGCGTGCACGTGTTCGTGGGTAGTTTCCAAAAAAAGCCCCCTAGTATAAGAGGAGGGGAACGGGCACCGGCCGCATCACCCACCCCATTTCCCCCAAATCGCCTCCCTCTCCCTCCTCTCTGCTCTGCCTCATCGTCTCCCTCACCGACCACCCCACCTGCTCGCTCACCACCGCCACGTCCCTCTCTTCTCCTGCTTGCTTCTGGCTCGGATGGAGCAAGGCCGTCGCGAAGCCGCCGTCGCGGGCGGAGATCTGCAGAAGACGGGCTCGGAGACCGTGGCAGGTGCCGTGCAGACCCTCGTCGGCGGCACGGGTGCAGGAGCTGCTGCATCCCCACGCGCTGGATCGGTCACTGCGGCGGTGGATCTGAAGGAGAAGAAGGTGGTCGTGGCGGACTCCGCCGTGGCGGACTCAGCCGTGCCGGTGCTTGGCGTGACGGCGTCGAGCGGCCCGTCTGATGGACCTGCGGAGGCCGGCGGCGAGCACATGGACCTGCAGGTAATCCTTGCCAGCAGTCCCCTCCGTTGCTAGTTACCCCCGTTAAGTAGTAGTTTTGGGTGTTAGTGTTTTTTGTAGTTGCTAGTTGCTGCATCCCCTTCTGATAGTTAGGTTTTTAGATGTTTGATTGATTTATATGGTGAAGGTTAAGTTTCGATTCTGTGATTGAATCATCCAGTAGATCAAGTAGTTAGGGTTTTTTAATGAGATGTTAAGTTGGGGATTTTTTGTATTGGATTCAATTAGAGGCACAGATATGTTGTATCTGTGATTGAATCACATCCAGTAGATGTACTAGTTAGGGTTTCTTAATTAGATGTTTAGTTGATTCTGTGATCGAATCATCCAGTAGATCAAGTAGTTAGGGTTTTTTAATGAGATGTTAAGTTGGGGATTTTTTGTATTGGATTCAATTAGAGGCACAGATATGTTGTATCTGTGATTGAATCACATCCAATAGATGTACTAGTTAGGGTTTCTTAATTCGATGTTTAGTTGATTCTGTGATTGAACATTGTGTAGATCAAGTAGTTAGGGTTTTTTAATGAGATGTTAAGTTGGGGATTTTTTGTATTGGATTCAATTAGAGCCATAGATATGTCGTATCTGTGATTGAATCACATTCAGTAGATGTACTAGTTAGGGTTTCTTAATTAGATGTTTAGTTAGGGTTTATTTGTATTGGATTCATTTATAGTCTCTGATATGTAGAATGTGTGAATGAATCACATCCAGTAGATGTAGTAGTTAGGGCTTTTTAATTAGATGTTTAGTTGGGGATTTTTTGTACTGGATTCAATTAGAGCCACTGATAAGTAGAATTTGTGATTGAATCACATCCAGTAGATGTAGTAGTTATGGTTTTTAAGGTTTATTTGTATTGGATTCAATTATAGGCAGATATATACAAAATCTGTGATTGAATCATCTAGTAGATGTAGTAGTTAGGGTTTTTTAATTAGATGTTTACTTAGGGTTTTCTTGTATTGGATTCATTTATAGCCAGTTATATGTAGGATGTATGATTGAATAATCCAGTAGATGTAGTAGTTATGGTTTTTTAATTAGTTGGTTAGTTAAGGTTTATTTGTATTATTCATTTATATATAGACAGTTATATAGATTCTGTGATTGAATGATGTAGTAGATGTACTAGTTAATGTTTCTTAATTAGATGTTTAGTTAGGTTTCTTTTGTATTGGATTCATTTATAGGTAGAGATAAATGTAATTAAATGGTGTGACTGAATGATGCAGTAGAAGTAAGAGTTATGATATTTTAATTAGATGTATGAGTTAGTGTTATTTGTAGTGGATCCATTTATATCCAATGATATATGTGCGTAAATTTTGTGATTCAATGTTCCAGTGGTTGTAGGAGTTAGTGTTTTTTAATTAGATGTTGGAGTTAGGGTATTTTAATTAGATGTAGGAGTTAGGCTTCACCATTTCACTTATTTTGACTTATGAGTGATCATTGAGAACTGCTCTGAACTAAATATTTATTAAGATTTACAAATGAAATGAAAACCTGACATGTTTGTGAAGTTATATATAAAGGTCCTATTTGCATTGTCTGTCAAAAACTGCTATATCATGGGTTAATAAGAGAGGAATGATATTCATTTATACCCTCATATGCATGTTCAAAAGAAAAAACCGAAATTGTATGTCAATATGAATGAACTTGTATTTTCATAAGCCAATTGTTTAGTATGTATATAGCTTCATATATAGTGTATGAAATATAGTTATGAGCTTTCCATCATTATGCAAAATCAACTTGTTTGTAATGACATTATTTGAACTGCAATTCAATTCCTTGTAAATGACTTGCTTGGTTGACAATATAGCAGAAGGAGGATCTTGTTGGCAAGAAGAGGAAGTGGGACTCATCTGGCTACTACCCTTATGAAAGTGATGAGGATGAGCCGTACGAGGTAAGGCCTAGCTGAAATGTTATTTGTGCATTGACTTAGTGTTAGATGTTTGTAGTATTTGAATGCATAATGTATTAATGTCAGTCATTAATGTGTGCAGTATCAATCTGGAGATGATGTGGTCGAGGGGAACGTCAAGTCATTTGAAGAGAAGGAGGTGCTGAAGATCAGGGCCCAAGGATCTGCTAGGTACGACAACTGGAGGTCTGGCAAGTACCGGTGCCCCTACTGCAGCAGGCCCAAGCCCAGGTCTGGGTTGCTAGAGCATCTGATGGAGCATTGTCGGGCTACATCCATCAGCAGTCATGACTACAAGATCAGGGCTCAACATTCTGCCCTCCACAAGGTCCTGAGAAACCCTGACATGTAGTTGCCCTAGACCCTCGTTGTTGTATGATGTAGGAAGGCTTAGTCCTTTTGGTGAACTTCGTGTGGTATTCTGATGGTGGAAACTTGTAGTGGTAATTTAGTATGAACTTTATCTAAGTGCAGTACTGTGATGTGCGGTCCAAACATATCTAATATGCTAGTGGTCTGCATCAGCAAGCATGCTGTGTGGATGCTGCTATCTATGGCAGTAGTATATATTGCTATCTATATTTGTGTCCCTTAAATTTGCCATTATGGTTCCTTAGATGTATGATTTGCTTGAATTTAGCTGTTGCAATGATCAGACATGCCGCATCAGTGTTGCTTCACTGATCGGGCATGCTGCAAACACTTCCCATGCTGCGGCCATGTGGAACATGCTGTGGCAATGGTGCAATAAATTCCCATGTTGTGGCCTTGTGCAACATGCTCTGCCCATAAGCAAATCGGACCAAATCTAAAACTTTGCGTTAAGTAAATTAATGTTTTTTAGTGAAGTAAGTGGAAATTGTTCGTCGACACATATGACATCTTTCCTTCATTTGAGTAAGCAAAAATAGCAAATACTCCACCATATGATCAAATATTCCAATAACTGAGCACATATTCCTTCATTTCATCAAATACTAATAAAAAAGTAGTTAAAGATGGTGTGTGTGTGTGTGCAAAAAACAATATTTGAATAAACGTGTAATGATTATTTGTAACATGAAGGAGTTTTTTCATGAAATGCAAGTTGATTATATGTAATATGAAAGATCTCCTTTCGTACAATTTATAGTGGCTCCGTGAAGCCGCATGTTTCGAACCGGCATTGGGCAGGGCATAAAAAATTCAGAAAAAATTCAAAAATTGTGACCCAAATTTTCTTGTACATGGTGACCCACATGTGCCAAACATGGCTATGAAAGAAAATTTTGGAAAATTAATACTTTACAATGCCCCCTTGAGGTATAGACCGATGGTTTGACCAGTCAGTCTAGAGGGCATTATAAATTAACAAAAAATTCAGAAAATATAAAACCTTGGAAAACTAGCTTTGTTTGTGCAAGAGATCATGTGTGCCAAAATAGGGGTGATTTGGAGATGGTCAAAAAAATCATCGCATTCCGGAGGGACCATTTGGTCTTAACTTAAGCCGGTTTTTGAACATACGTGATTTTTCCACCACCTCCAAATCACCCAAATTTTCTTGTACATGGTGACCCACATGTTCCAAACATGGCTATGAAAGAAAATTTGGAAAATTAATACTTTACAATGCCCGCTTGAGGTATAGACCGATGGTTTGACCAGTGAGTCTAGAGGGCATTATAAATTACTAAAAAATTCAAAAAAATATAAAACCTTGGAAAACTAGCTTTGTTTGTGCAAGATATCATGTGTGCCAAAATAGGGGTGATTTGGAGGTGGTCCTGACATGTGTGCCAAATTTGACATGTGACATATGCAAAAAAATTGACATGTGACATATTTTGTTTCAAACTTGTGTGCAAAATTAGACATTTGACATATGCAAAAAATTGAATACAAATTAAAAAAATTACTTTGGGTATCCTCACATGGTGGAAATGTTTGGTCCAAATATTTTAAATATTTTGTAAAATTTATATTTAATTTAAAATTTGAAAAATTAATGCTTCAAACTTGTTTGCAAAATTTGACATGTGACATATGCAAAAAAATTGACATGTGACATATTTTGTTTCAAACTTGTGTGCAAAATTAGACATTTGACATATGCAAAAAATTGAATACAAATTAAAAAAATTACTTTTGGTATCCTCACATGGTGGAAATGTTTGGTCCAAATATTTTAAATATTTTGTAAAATTTATATTTAATTTAAAATTTGAAAAATTAATGCTTCAAACTTGTTTGCAAAATTTGACATGTGACATATGCAAAAAAGTTGACATGTGGCATATTTTGTTTCAAACTTGTGT